AAAAATGAAATGCAAAATAGAGAGCTTTATCTTGAAATAAATTTCAACCTAGAAATAGCTTAATATGTAATAATCCACGTGTTTATTAATATATCTAATTATACAGTTTCATGGCACCTTTTCCAGTCTAATTTATACCTGTTATTTTTGTTTTAACTTCAAATCGATGCATACTATTGTTATTTTGAAGATATATCTTTCAAATGCATCATTATGCAAATAAGTAGCTTTATTTAAACTACTTAAATTATACAGTAGGCAAATTGTGACATTTATAAGGGTTAATTTTCTGCTATTTTCTTCTATATTTTAATACATTCTTGGAAAAGGTGATTGCTTGCATAGTGTAATCATCATGACTTTACCACCTATCCTGCAGGTGGATGAAATATTTCACAAACTTAATATTAAACATATATTCATTAAAATATGTGGTTAGTACTTTAGCTGTTCAGGGATAAGATAAGCATTTTGGAAGATCTCATTGATTCTTTTCTCTGTGGAAAGCAGACCCATCTGAACTCATCCAGTTCAGTGCTCTTACAACCACATAAGAGCAAGGGAGTTTGAGGATACCCAGCTACCTGTCACAGCCCTCTAGCTATTCTCAGCAAAATGAGACAAAAATTACTGGTTCTTTGCTTTTTTTGTTTTTGTTTTTGTTTTTGTTTTTTTGTTTTTTTTCACTGTTTGATGGCATCCTTTAAACTAGGACTATCATTGTTAAACTAGGATTCTTACTAACTCCTAAAGATGACTCCTAAGTCACTCCTAAAAACTCCTAAAGATTCTAAATAACTCCTTAGACTAGACTAAAGGAAGATCAACACCATAATTAGATTAACAATAGTAGCAATAGTAGCGTAGTATACTTATTTCAAACTTAACCAATAGCATTGATTCTATTCACCATCCTGCCTTCAGACTTGGTCAAATTCATGCTATCTTTTACGTGTCAAAATTGTATTTTGAAATTTCCTTTTGCTTTGTATTCTGCCTTGATGTTAAAGACTTCAGTGCCAACATGAGCATCATATTTCATAATTGTCCAAGATCATATAATCTAGAACACGGAGTAGGGCATTTATTTAATAAACAACATACAAGTTCTGGTTTAGCAAAACATCGCTAACTGTATAATGCTGTCAACCTCTTTCAGGAAATGATCATTTATTATGGCGCTAAAATTACTTACTCTAAATAGAAATGAACCTTGCTGTCTTATCAGAAGCAAGTCATACTTTACCCCTTGCTTTGTTGGAAAAAACTTCAATTCATCTCTTGAAATTGGACCAAGTGTTACAATCTGTTTGCTCCGTGCAGTCCTCAGTGAATTAAAATGTTAAAATAGTGCATAACGCCTGTATTCATTCAAATTTTCTTGACATAAACCAAATCTTAATACTTTCCCAACAGTAATCCTAACAGCTACCTTAATTTGAGAATGTTGGCTTTGGGCTCTAAGGATCACTTAAAAGGGCAAAGGAAGTCACTTTTATCTTGTTAACATACACTTTTGAAAGTTAAACCAACTACTCTGTGCATTCTACGAGACACACACACACACACACACACACACACACACACACACACAATTAAATTATTCTCCAATAGGAACAACCAGGGGCACTTTTATCTTTTTATGTCATATAAAGACTTCAAATGTGTATTTACTGAGTAACGGCTACAGCAGACGTGGGGTTATTCACGAACATTAATGTCACAAGGGGCACTTTCTAAGGGTTACTGACTATTGGAGCTGTCCAATTTCTGAAAAATAAAAGTCACACTGGAACAGAATAGGTACTCTAATGGAAAGAAATGAAGACAAAGCAGAGGAGAAATAACTGTCTAGGAGAATCCAGCAAGTTTCACATGGTCAGAGGCGTTTAACCTAAGTTTTAAAATTCTTTGTGAGAAGAGGAGAAAGGATATTCCAAAGATGAACACAGTGTATTTTAAAGGAAATCTATAACAAACTGTGCATTGTATTACTAGAATAGCAACATTAACATGGGATCTACGTCATACATAATTTATTCCAAACCTTGACAATGATGCCACATTGCTGCTTTGATTCCAGGCATAGAACAGACACTGAATAAGGCCTGGGGATGGACATGAAGGAAGAAATGTAGTTCAGGGGTCTTAATGGATAGGATGCTTTAGTTTTAGGAGTTTTCCCTCCTCTATGATACCCAAAAGCAAGGCATGTACTTTAATAAATTGCTCAACTCCTTCGGGTAACTCTTCTCTGGGAATCCAGTTGCCACTAGAATGTTTCCATCTTCTACACTGCTTCAGTGCAACTTTGTTTTTTAGAGCCAGGAACAGATCTCCTGGATGGACGTTATGGACCACCTCTTACAAATTTCAGAGGTGATCTCAGTAAACCACTTATGAAGCATCCCTGACACACCTGTGACACACGTTGTGAAAAGGGGAGGGGAAAGTGGAGACAAACTTTCCTATTCTCACGCGGCTCAGAAGAGGTAATAGGGTTAGAAAGTATTACACCATTTGCTAAGCTGCTGTTTAGTTATCCTTATGAAAACATAGCAACAATCCAATTTTCTTTTTTTTCCTTTCCTTTTTTAATTGTCACAGTATGATTTTACTGAGGTGCCAAGGATTTTCCTT